ACCGGTTAGTTCTGTTTCAGTGCAAAAATACATACGAGTATAAGTTTGCATATCTTCTCTTTAGTATGATAAATATGTCTTCTTCCTCCATGAATGATGAGCTCGAAATTAATATCACACCTCATTATGATTAATCAATATAATCATCCGAGAGGCAATATTGGGCGATAAGAGAGAAATTATAATCGGTGCGTTTCGCAAAATTAACTCTTAATTGAATTCTAAGATAATTGTAATCTCATTTCCGTGTAAGTTTGGTTCGTAAATGATAACTCAGCTGAAACGTTAATGTAAACGTTTTTTTAGCACGCATAATGATGTGACTATAATTTAAATGATAAAGTGAAATTAATGTTATTTATATTTCTTTATCAGTTTAATCGTTTTGATAGGTTGCGGTAATCAATTTAAAACCTTCTATACATAATTTTAATATAATAGGGAGTATACATAACATTACAGTGCATCACTGTAGAAAGCATATCAATTGAATCAAACACATTCTGGTTTATAGGGATGTTTAACCGACATTTTCCTAATTAATATTTTAATTTGTTGGGGGAAAATACACAGTATTGCATTTATGTACCATAAATAGCGTATTATTTGAATCTAACGTATAGTTAAGTTTATTGAGAGCAATAATACATTTCGTTCTGAATTAATATTATGTATAAAAAAAGGTATATTTTCCACCAAATTCCATTTTTTTAAGTATGTAGAGGAAGACATTGACAAAAAAACAAGGAAGGGCTTTGTTTACACAAATATGGTAAATAGTAAAGAATAACGTGGGGTGAAGATGGAGGAACGAAAACACTAGGAAACCTATGTTTTCTTTATTTGATCATTTGCAATCGAGTTTATTTATAGTTCTAAAAACGTAACTTTTAAATTCCGTTATTTGTAAGCTTGCCTTATTTATGACATAGTTTATAGGAAAATTTTTAGAGTTGGTAAAATTTGTAAAATTTCATCATTTATCTACCAAAAATAGTCTTAAAATTTAAATTAATTTTAGGTAATAAGCAAAGTGAATTTCTTTTATTAATGAATCTCATTCTGAAAATTATTTTAACACTGCATACTAAGCAAAAATATCCCTATAAAGAGTTAATATTCTCTACATTCAAAATTAGAAGTCTCGTTTTGGTTGTAATTCTTCCCCGTTTGAACGATAATGTCTTCCTCCCAATGACTTAATTGAATGTTTTTTTATCATTTACATACATATATTGCAGTTCAAAAAAAAGAACTGACACTAGTTAAAAATGCTCCAAGGTATAATGGTAATACAAAGTTTTCACATACAAATACAAAATACGAAATTTACACATACAAATACAAAATACAAAATTTACACATACAAATACAAAATACAAAATTTACGCATACAAATACAAAATTTACAAAATACAAATTACAATACAAAATTTTACCACATTAACCAAATTTCATCGCATATTATAAAACAATATTTTAATGTTAATTCTACCGAAATCATTACCGAGTTTTCTGACATACATATATATATATATA